CGAAACTGGTTTGGCTCAGTGGATAGAGCGAAAGATCCCAGGTTCGATTCTGGTCAAGGGCAAGTACCTTGGTTGCGGGCACATCCCCAGTGGGGGGTGTGCAGGAGGCAGCTGGTCGATGTTTCTCTCTCATTGATGTTTCTAGCTCTCTATCTCTCTCCCTTCCTCTCTATAAAAAATCAGATAAATTATATATAATTTATCTATTAACGAAGCTGTGTAAGGGCCACGGGCTGGCTTGCCCTCCCCTGCTCCTAGTGAGCACGTGGGCTCTATGTGGAACTAGCAGATTGTTTAATGAGGTCTCACAGCAGGGGTCACGATTTCAAATGAACCCCCTCTCCAGACCGTGGTACTGGGGCTTCTGGCTGGCGGCAGGCCTCATTGTTCCCTAGGATGGGCCTGCTTCCCGCTCAGGAGAATTTCATTCTGATGCCACATGGTGGCGGTCAAAGCTGGGCTGCTAAGGGCAGCTGCAGGAGTAGCCCACAGGTCCCACAGGGAGGGAGATGCAGGAGAAGGACTGAGAACGGAGGAGGAGGGTGTGGGGGAGGGGAGAGGGGGACAGAACTCTGTGTGGATGGCACCCTGGAGCTGCACCCTGGGGCGTGGGGGTGGGGGAGCTGGGATGCTGACTCTGTGTGCGAATTTCCCCACCCAAGTGGGTTTCCATGAGATTGTTAGAAATCCAGTATTTTCCGTTAACAGTGGGAATGGGGCAGCAAGGGGGAAGTCTAGGAGAGCAAGAACCCCCTCTCCTCTCCCTCCCCCGCCTCCCACCCCCAGCAACACGTGCAGGCCAGACTTGGGGGAAGGCAACTCCCTCCCTGCAAGCCAGGAGGACAGCCTGCATCTGTGTCACAGCTTTTATAAGAAGCTGGTGGTCCAGCAAGCAAGCTGCTTCTCGGAGGCCTGGGAGCTGTTCCGGCAAAGGACTGGAGATGAGGAGGGGCTGGGGACTCCAGTTTGTAACATGCTGGTCAGGGACCCCGGAGGCCAGGACTCCCGTCTGTGTCTGCAGGGGCAGCGAGGGGAGGGCGTCTGCGGGACTGAGTTCTCAACCTGTGGCCTCGGACACCGACTCCAGGCGGACTGTGTCCGAGGCCGATTGAACTGTAGGGTGCCCGACCGGTGTTGGGGGGTTGGCCAGTGTGGGAACCCCTTTCCCAAGTCTGGTGTCAGGAGAATGGAGGGCAGACTCCCCCCTCTCACACGTGACTTGCCTGTCAAGGGCACTGCTGATTCCCTACCGGGCCCAGCCCCAGCCCCCAGTCCCCAGCCCCAGCCCCAGCCCCAGCCCCAGTCCACTGTCCCCAGCCCCAGCCCCAGCCCCAGCCCCAGCCCCAGCCCCCTGCCCCCTGCCCCGCAGCGCTCACTGCTGCCCGCCCCCAGAGGCTGGTAACTCCCCAAATGGCCGCACATCCATCCAGGAGCTCAAATCAAGGCAAGCTCATTACCTCACAGCCCACAGGTAAACCTGCAGGCCTGTCCGGTTTCTCTGCTCTGGGTCCCAACTGGAAGCTCCGGGTTCGCCCGGTGGTTGGAGTCCATTTCCAGTGACCGCAGGTCTGCGGTCCCCGTGACCTGGCTGGCCGCCCGCGGGGGTCCCTCACTGCCTGCCGTCCCGGTTCATAGCTCTGCCCCTTCCTCTACGGGGCCTCCCACGTCAGGGGAGGGGGTGGGGACAGGAGCTCTGCTTAGGGCTGGGAGACGATTCAGCTCACCTGAGTAACCCAGGACACGCCCCCTCGTAGATCAGGGAACGTAACCGCAGGCTCAGGGGTTAGCGTGTGGGCGTCTTTGTGGGGTTGGGGGGCTTCCCATCAAACTCTTCCCAGACTCCTCCTGGGCAAAAATACTTGATGAACAGTGCTGTGTGCCTCGCGCCAGCAGGACCTCCGTGCCTGGCTGTCCTCCTGGGGATGCTGCGATGATGCTGTGGGTCTGGGAGGTGACCGTCTGCCCCCGGCTGCAGGTCACCAAATGGTCTCCTCCGTCGGGCAGGAGACCTCTGCCCAAACCATTGGTTTCATCGGACGTTGCAAAATGGTGGCTTTTAATGTGTCATCCCTTTCCCATACAGTAAATATACACTGAGTGGCCTCGGCCTCTCGGATCCTCACATCCTGCTTCTGCTGCCGTCCTCCCACCAGGTCCCACTCCGCGGGGCCGCTCACACAGGGAGAGCTTTCTTCAGTTCCCGGCTCCGAGGCTCCTCCCAGCACCGGTGCCAAGACATAGAGCTGCAGAGCCCACCGGCCTGGCTCAGTGATGGAGCATCGGCCTGTGAACCAGGAGGTCTCGGTTTGATCCCCGGTCAGGGCACACGCCGGGGCTGCAGGCTTGATCCCCAGCCGCGGGGCATGCAGGAGGCAGCCGATCCATGATTCTCTCTCTCCCTTCCTCTCTGAAAGCAATAAAAATGTATTTTAAGCCGGGACCGGTTTGGCTCAATGGATAGAGCGTCGGCTTGGGGACTGAAGGGTCCCGGGTTCGATTCCGGTCAAGGGCATGTACCTTGGTTGCGGGCATATCCCCAGTAGGGGTTGTGCAAGAGGCAGCTGATCGATGACTCTCTCTCATCGATGTTTCTAACTCTGTATCTCTCTCCCTTCCTCTCTGTACAAAATCAATAAAATATATTTAAAAAAAAAATGTATTTTAAAAGAAAAAAGAAATAGCGCTGAAGAGTGACAACGTGTTGCCTGCTCAGATGTGACGCAGTCAGCCAGAGGAGCCTCACAGCAGAGCAGCTGTGGCTCCCAGCATACAGGCTCCAGAAAATCCCTTCACTCACGAATTCTCCCCACGCCTGGTCTCATTCATGGTCTTTCCATCAAACTCTTCCCAGACCCCACCCGGGCCATTGGCCGCTCGCCACGTGTGGACCTGTTTCTGATCCTCTCTGACTTTCTCTGACGTAGTGGGGCCCTCATGGCCAGGGTAACCGGGAGTGGACTAGGGCCTGAGACTTCACTGTCTACTGACTGCTGAGAAGACAGGAAAGAGAAGGGTCCCCATCCTGCCTCTGAGGTCCTGGGGAAGTCACTTACTGTGTGACTGAAAGTGGCCCTTCGTCTTCGTTCAAGGGTAACGAGGTGTGTGCTAGTCCCTCTGGGTCATCCTCACCCTGTGAGGAGGGGCAGGGTCTGAGAGTTCCCTCTATGTGTCTGGGGCAAGTGTGAGCGTCTTGAAGGGAATGGTACTTTACCTAGTTGCGGACTGAGTAGATGTCCACATAGGGTGGTCCTTCTTTCCTTCTTTAACCGCAAGTCATAGCTGCTCTCTTTGTCTTTCTCTAGACGGGCGCAGTGGTACATTCTTTCCTTTGCTTTTCTTTCTTTCTTTCTTTCTTTCTTTCTTTCTTTCTTTCTTTCTTTCTTTCTTTCTTTCTTTTTTTTTTAAGGTTATTTTATATTTTATTGATTTTGTACAGAGAGAAAGGGAGAAAGTTAGAAACATCGATGAGAGAGAATCATCGATCAGCTGCCTCTTGCACACCCCCTACTGGGGATATGCCCGCAACCAAGGTTCATGATCTTGACCAGAATCGAACCTGGGTCCCTTCAGTCCCTAAGCTGACGCTCTATCCATTGAGCCAAACCAGTTTTGGCTTTTTTTTTTTCTTTTATAAAAAAAATATATTTTATTGATTTTTACAGAGAGGAAGAGAGAGGGATAGAAAGCCAGAAACATCGATGAGAGAAACATTGATCAGCTGCCTCCTTCACACCCCCCCCCCACTGGGGATGTGCCCACACCCAATGTATGTGCCCTTGATTGGAATTGAACCCGGGACTTTCCAGTCTGCAGGCCGATGCTCTATCCACTGAGCCAAACCACAGTGGTGTGTTCTAAAACCTACTCTCGGACACTAACGGGGTGCCCCACAATTCAGTTCAATCCTGATCCCCCCGAGTTAGTGTAGACCCCACCGTTCAAGGGCCAAGGTCCCGGCAAGACCGTCCACACTTCACCGCATCAGGTGCCAGTCACCCGTGGGGTCCCCAGGCCACTTGTACGTCTGCCTAACGTGACTCCACCTTCAAGTTCAGTAATTCACCAGAACGACGCACAGAACTGAGGAGAGCATTCTGCCTGCAGGCCCCCTCCTGTGGCCGAGGGCACAGAGGAACAGCCAGGGAAGAGGCCCACAGGGGTGAGGTCTGGGAGGGTCTCGGGCAAAGAGCTTCTGCCCCCGTGGAGTGTGCCATCTTCTCAACACATCCACGTGTTCACCAGCTAGGAAGCTCCCCACGCTGGCCGTCCAGCGTGTTTATTAATCATTATTAATTAATGATTATTAATTAATCATTAATAATCATTAATTGGTGAACAATTTAATCAATCATTAGAGAGGCAGGCTTGATGAAATCCCTGGCCACATGCTTGAGCTCCCTCTCCAACCCTCTCTCCTCTGGGGAGTTCAATCCTCTAACCAAGAGCTTGGCATTTCTGGCTTGATCTTTCCCGCAGGGCCAGCCCCTCCCTTGAAATGTAAGAGCCCAGGCCTCATTAGCATAAACTCATTAGCATAAAGTGGCTGGCTGGCAGGCGCTCATTATGAATAGAAGACACTCCTCTAGGAAATGGCAAGGGTTTTTGAAACTCTGTGCTAGGAACTGGGGATAAAGACCAGACATAGTTTTTGTTTGTTTGTTTGTTTGTTTTTAATCCTCACCCGAGGATACTCTTCCCACTGATGTCCAGAAAGAGAGGGAGGGCGAGGGGGGGGGTAGGGGGAGGGGGGAAAGAGAGAAACACATCGATTGGTTGCCTCCCACAAGTGCCCGGGAGGGGGTGGGAGGGGGGGAAACCTCCCATGGGGGTGCATGCTCTTGACTGGGAACCAACCCGGTCTGTGGGCCTACGCTCTAACCATTGAGCAAACCGGCCAGGGCCAGGCATATATATTTTTTTTTTTTTTTTTTTTTTTTTTTTAATTGCATGACAGTTGGCATGTGTGAGAGTAATAAGACTTTCAGAGGATACCTAGGAGGCTAAAACACTTGGACCTTCACGTATCTTTGGAGGAAAAGCCAGAAGATGAAGCCTTCAGATTTGGCCACTCCTGAGTGGGGACTAAAGGTAAGCTCAGAGGGAGGAAGCGGGAGGTAAATATGGTTCCACAGTTGCCATCCAAGGCTCAGGAGAGCTGGAAGGTCTTCAGAGAGGCTGGTTTGCTCCTGGCTCAGGAGGCCTCCGACCAGCAGGCACAGGTGGGGACTGCGTCCAGAGGGAGGTGGGGCAGGTGGGAGGTTACGAAAGCAGGATCTCTGGCTTATGGGAACCAAGGGGCAGGCCAGGGGCTTCACCCTCAGAAGAGGGAGAGAATCCTCTTCTAAAACTCGAAGGAAAAGGAAGGAGCGAATGGGAAAAATACGGATGAGAGCAAATGTTTTTAATAAATCAGGCCAGAGTGAGAGCCCAGCAGGGCGAGCGTTTATGAGACTTTCCGAGAAGGACATGGCAGTCTTGATGGGAAGAGGTGTCTGAGAAAAACCAGGGAAGGAGGGGGAGGGGAGAAGGGGGAGTGGGGGAGAAGGGACCTGGGATATGCGTGTACACAGTGAACTGGTTCTTCAGGAGCCATTGTCAGGTGACCTCCAGAAGCTTCTCCTAGCATTTCCAGTCTGGGATTCCACGGCTTCTGCATGAGAACATCTCATTGACAACAGGACGGACACCAGCCCCACAACTTCCTGGGGTCTGTATGGTCTGGGAAGAAGGAAATAGATAATGTGAGAACAATACTTTCTGAGCATTAAACACTCCTTGGTTAAAAGGATGGGGGGTGGGGGAGGAGAAGGAAGTGTCTCTGAGAGGGTAAAACGTTATCAGAGATAATTGAGGGGTGCTTGTTGATAGCACAGATCTAGCTAACTAAAGTTGGCCTGGATTGGAATGGAGTGTGTGGGGTTCAGAGCAGGCGATGTTGCCTCCACAGGACATGAGGCAATGTCTTGAGACATTTTTAACCGTCACAACAGGGTGCCATCAAGTGGGTGGAGATGGTTGCCGCTGGGCACCCTACAGCACACAGGACGGCCCCTGTGATAAAGAATCACCTGGCTGCCGAGGCCGGTGTGGCTCAGTAGATAGAGCATCAGCCTGCGGACTGAAAGGTCCTGGGTTCAATTCCGGTCAAGGGCATGTGCCTTGGTTGCGGGCACATCCCCCGTGGGGGGTGTGCAAGAGGCAGCTGATCGATGTCTCTCTCTCATCGATGTCTCTAACTCTCTATCCCTCTCTCTTCCTCTCTGTAAAAAAACCAATAAAATATATTTTAAAAAATATCACCTGGCTGCCTGGCCCAATGTGTCCCTCGCGCTGAGGCCCAGAAACACTGCTTTGAAGGACCCTGAGCCAAGCATGCCTGGTGGCAGGTGTCCTGGTAAGAGGGGCACTGTGAGCAGGCGTGGCAGACTCCTGGTTGCTGACCCAATCCCATCCGTGGCCTCCCCACCCCCACCCCACCCCCTTTTGGAATCACTTTTAAGTAACAGATGTCCCATGACAGGTCTGGGCATTGACATGGAGAGAAGTTGCTGGATGAGATTTCTGAGAAGATGCCCTGAGTAGGTACCTTTCCCCTCCTGTCCTTCCCGCCTGTACCCTGAACTCGCCACCTGGAGGAACGGAGGCCCTGTCCGGAGAAATGGTCACATCGAGAGGGTAGGAACCAGGGTTGCCGCTCAGCATCCTACCTAAGGTGACCAGATGTCTCGCTTTTGGCGGGACAATCCCGATTTTTAACAATTTGTCCCGCGTCCCGAGGCATTTTAAAAAACGCTGCAGGACAAATTATTAAAAATCGGTACTGTCCTGCTTAATCGGGACTTTTAAAAAAAAAAATATATATTTTTATTGATTTTTTTATAGAGAGGAAGAGAGAGGGATAGAGCGTTAGAAACATCGATGAGAGAGAATCATCGATCAGCTGCCTCCTGCACACCCCCTACTGGGGATGTGCCTACAACCAATGTACATGCCCTTGACTGGAATTGAACCTGGGACCCTCCAGTCCGCAGGCCGACGCTCTATCCACTGAGCCAAACCGGTTTCGGCAATTGGGACTTTTTTGAAACGCCAAGGGACGAGGGACCAATTGTTAAAAATCGGGACTGTCCCGCCCAAAGTGGGACGTCTGGTCACCTTAAGCCTGTCACAGAGCAACCCCCAGACGCCACAGGCTATGCTTACCGGCACTTCCCACGACGGGACGGGATCTCCGGTCCCATCCTTGAAGCAGAGAGAGGAGGACAGCCATTCAGCCGCTTCATTCGCCAGGCGATGCCAGCACCAGCGGTTCCCTCCGCCCACGTCGCCCGTGGGATCGGCCGGGTCCAAGATCACAGGCCTGGACGAGGGGTGAGACGCGTGAGGGGCATGCTCCTTAGTCAGCGGTCTCAGGATTGGGGGCCAGGTGACCTCCAGAGATGTCTCCTCTCAGCGATAAAACAATGTGTCCTTACTACTTGGATGTCAAGAATTCAAGTATGCTGCTGAAATTGGTCCCAGGTTCCATTCCAGTCAGGGGCATGTACCTTGGTTTCGGGCACATCCCCTGTGGGAGGTGTGCAGGAGGTGACTAATCGATGTTTCTAGTTCTCTACCCCTCTCCCTTCCTCTCTGTAAAAAATCAATAAAATATATTTAAAAAAAATACAATAAAATAGATGAAACCGGTTTGGCTCAGTGAATAGAGCGTCAGCCTTTGGACCGAAAGGTCCCAGGTTCGATTCTGGTCAAGGGCATGTACCTGGGTTGCGGGCACATCCACAGTAGGGGGTGTGCAGGAGGCAGCTGATGAATGATTCTCTCTCATCGATGTTTCTCTCTATCCCCCTCTCTTCCCCTCTGTAAAAAAAATCAATAAAATATATTAAAAAAAAGAATTCAAGGGTACTTAGACTGTGCAAAATAATTTTCAGGAATTAAACGATAATTGTCGAAAACGTCTTGAAAGCTACTGATTATTATATACGTGAAGGCATCATACAAACGCCTCCTCCATGCCAGGCCAACCAAACGAAAATGCGTAACCATAACCCAATGGAATGTGGCTAAGCGGCCGCCCCCATGGTAGGCAGCCCAGGGCATCCTGTTCTCTTTCTTCTTCCCTAGACTCTCCCCACACTCCTTGCTTTTCTCCCATTTCCTGTTCTTTTGCTTCCGCTGTTTTTGTCTCTGGCTGGTGAGATGAACTGAGATGCCTTCTTATCCCTGAAGGATCAAGGTTTTGTGGGAGGCAGCCCTGAAAGGGCGGGTGAAAGCTGACCGTAAGAAGCCTGTAGGATCCGTCAGCCTGTGAGCCACACCCTTAGTTCTCAGAAACACACTTGCTCTGCCTCGTAGGCCTGCTAACCGGTCCCTTTTCCTTGTGGCTGAGAAAGATGGATGCCACACAGAGGCCTGGAGCCTGGGGCCTTGGGCCTGGGGCCTGGGGCCTTGGGCCTGGGGCCTTGGGCCTCCTCCTGTCCATTCTGGGTGACATTCCCTCCTGCCTCCCTGAGGCTTATCTCTCTCTTATGGGGAGAACCCAGTTCTCAGAGGTAGGGTGGGAGGGAATCAGGCTAAGAAAAGGAGAGGGGAGGGCTCGGCGCACCTGGGTTTCTGGAGCTGGCTCAGCAGGAAGTTCCTCACAGTCTCGTTCTCGAAGTTGTAGTTGACCGTCCAGAAGACACAGAGCTGCTGGTACCGGGTGACCAGCTCCAGGACCGTCCGGAAGCCTTGAGCGGTGTCGAAACTCGTGGCCCCACTGCCCTGCTCCCAGGCATAGATGGTGAGCAGCTCCAAGGCGTACTTGGGGGGCAGCGACCCCTTTTTCTTCAGTCTCCTTTCACACTGGAGGGAGAGGGAGATCGTCGGATGATACTGGCCCAGGCAGGGAGGCTCACTGTACATTAAAGAGCCATGGCAGGCCAGCGAGTCTGGGAGTGGCCTGGGCAGGTGTGAACAGGCTGTGTGGGTGGGAGTTGCTTGGGCAGGTGTGAGCAGGCTGTGTGGGTGGGAGTGGCCCGGGCAGGTGTGAACAGGCTGTGTAGTGGGAGTGGCCTGGGGAGGTGTGAGCAGGCTGTGTGGGTGGGAGTGGCCTGGGCAGGTGTGAGCAGGCTGTGTGGGTGGGAGTGGCCTGGGCAGGTGTGAGCAGGCTGTGTGGGTGGGAGTGGCCTGGACAGGTGTGAGCAGGCTGTGTGGGTGGGAGTGGCCTGGGCAGGTGTGAGCAGGCATGGTGATTGTGGGTTTAGATGAAGCCACGAGGCTTTGGGAAGAGAGGGGCCCGCTCCAGGTCAGCCTGTAGCCTCACCCTCAGAGCACCCTGCGGCTGGGGGGTGTGGCAGGATCTCACTAATGTCTGGGCTGGGGGCACAGAGCTCAGGCTTCAGCTCAGAGTTCGGGGAGCCGGACACAGGACGGAGACAGTTTAGCAAGAACGGATATCGTGCCTGGCGCCTGCTGTCGAAAAATACTCAGAAACCACCCTGTCTGCAAGACATGATGAAAGTGAAGGTGGGCCCTGGCCGGTGTGGCCTGTGGCCTGAAGGGTCCCAGGTTCGATTCCTGTCAAGGGCTCATGCCTGGGTTTGGGGCTCGATCCCCAATAAGGGGCGTGCAGGAGGCAGCGATCAATGATTCTCTCTCCTCATTGATGTTTCTCTCTCTCTCCCCCTCTCCCTCCCTCTCTGAAATCAAGGAAAAAAAAAAAAAGATATAAAAAAGTGAAGGCGGGCTAACCAATACTGTAGGACATGCAGCCCCTGGACCACCTGTAGCTCCCACCTGCCTCCAGGAGATGGCGCCAGTGCCTGTCCGTTAGGGGCTTGGAGCAGCAGGAAAGCAGGGCTGGCACCTCGGAGGCATGAAAGCCCCTGGCACCTGCCCTGCAGGCAGGGTCACGGGCACCCTGCAGAACGCTTTGGGTGGCAGAGCAAGGGCCAAGGAAACCCCAGGCAGCAGCTTTGATGGCAGGAGATGCTCTATACCCAGCCCGACTCCATGGGGTCCCTGAGGGGGGTTCCTCCACAAAGGTCCCCGGGGTGAAGGCGGCTGGGCCTAGACTGGCAGAGCGTGGGCGTGTGGGGCCTGGTCCGTGCTGGGTTCCCCGCCCGGGCACACCTGCTTGTACCAGTGCTTCACCAGGCGCAGCAGGTCCTTCAGCTTGGTGGGCCGGGAGCTGACGAAGTCTCTCTGCAGCTCGGTGAAGCAGGCCGAAAACTCGCCCCCGGGGGTGTCGGGGTGCTCTTGGTACTGAGCGATGAGCTGGGCGTAGACCCTCCAGAGAGGCCCCAGCTTCTCTGCGTGGGGGAGAGAGAAGGACAGGATGCCTCACTCTACAGGGACGGGAAGTAACGGTTTGACAACTGTATTCGATCCTGGGATCCCGGCTTGAATTCTATCAGTGTCCCTGTAAGATACTGGGAGCATCTCTAGAGTAATGACACTACAGATGATGTGCTCTGTATCTTTACTAGTGGTATTATTATTAATTATTATTATTATTATTATTATTGGTTAACCCTTTCCCCAAGACACTTTCCCATTGGTTTTTAGAGAGGAGTGGAAGGGAGGGGGAGAGGCAGAGCGAGAGAAATCATTGATGTGAAAGAGCCACATTGACTGGTTGCCTCCCGCACGTGCCCCGACCCGGAGCACAACCCAGATATGTGCCCTTGACTGAGAATCCAACCTACGACTCTTTGGTACTCGGATCGATGCTCTAACCACTGGGCCATGCCGGCCAGGGCTCCTTGGGTTCTTTTAATGCCCTGTTATGTTGCTGCCATTACTCACGCCACCTGTGGGGGCCCCTGCCCCGTGACCCGTCCCCGAGTCCTGTGGCTTTCTCTCCGCCCCTTCTCACCAGCGTTCCAGATCCTTCCCCCTCCAGGAGCAAAGGCAGGCGTGGGGCCTCACCCAGCGCGTTGAATGCCGGCAGCACGTCCATGTCCACGGGCCCGGGGAGGCGCCTGGACTTCAGCGAGAAGCTCAGCACCCGGGGGGCCTCCCACTTGGAGATCTCGAAGGTCACTTCCAGGTCCGGCTCGGCCGCCAGCTGCTGCTGGGCCTCCAGCTGCTGCTTGATCTCCTTGATGACCGCGTAGCGCTCGGCTCTTTGGGACGGGAAGCTGGTCAGCGAGTCCACGAACACCACGAGGTCGGCGTCGGAGCCCGTCTTCAGGGCGGTGCCTTTGCCGGCTGACCCTGCCTGGCAGGACAGGCAGGTGGAGACCCAGTGAGAGCCCCTCACCACCGCCCCCCCCCGGGCTCCTACCCTGTTTCCCCGAAAATAAGACAGTGTCTTATATTAATTTTTGCTCCCAAAGATGCGCTAAGTCTTATTTTCAGGGGATGTCTTATTATTTTTCCACGAAGAAGAATACGGTACACATTGATTGTTAAGTGAAAATAAAGGAAATGTATTACCTGTCTACGGTACCGTAGTACGGTAGTTGTCAACACAAACCAGACAAACTGTGAATCCTACAGGATCAAGAATGTACTCATTTATTCAATGACGATCACGTCATCATCGTCTTCTGGAACATCATCATCACAATCCAATTCCTGAATTTCCTGGTGAATTTCTTGTGACTCCATTTCTTTCAGAATCAGTGGACCAAATCTCTCATGTTTAGCCTGGGGGGGGGGGCTTATTTTCGGGGGGATGCCTGATATTTCACTCAGAAGGAAACCTGTAAGTAGGTCTTATTTTCGGAGGATGTCTTATTTTCGGGGAAACACGGTACCCGTGGGGCTGAGGAATGAGCGTCCAAGCTGGGGTCCCGTGAGGGCTGAGTCCCCGGCAGACTGTTTGCTTTTTCACACCCTTTAGAACAATGGGGTTTGAAAGCGGCAATTCTCACACCCTTTGATGTGCTTGTGTACACTCCCGGGTTGGTTATAAACCACCCACATCTCGTCAACGCCCCCACCACGTCTCCTAACCCAGCGGTCGGCAAACTCATTAGTTAGCGGAGCCAACAACAGGACAGTGACTGGAATTCCTTTTGAGAGCCACATCATTTTTTTAAAACTTAAACTAGATAGGTAGGTACCTTGTTGTTCACTTAATTAGGGTGCGTGGTGCAGGGGCCAAAGAGCCGCATGCGCCTCGCGAGCCGCAGTTTGCCGACCGCTGTCCTAACCTAAAGCGTACTTGGCTTTCCATTCCTGTGACCTGAGAGAAATCCAGTGGATGCAGTCCCTGGGATGACATTCCTCATCGGTTCCCCAGTTCATTGCTTCCTCCTGCAATCCCGGCATCCGTTGGGCGAATCTTCATCATTGAGATACCCGGTTTGGCAGAGGTTAGATAAGGGATTTCTCCACTTCTTCCTTCCTGCCTTTTCCCCATCACACCCCCCTTTCCTTTCTCATCAACTCTGTGAAAACGTAAAAACCAGTCTGAGCTCAGGGCCCTGGTTTGTTTGTTTTTTAAAAAAATATATATTTTATTTATTTTTTACAGTGAGGAAAGAAGAGGGATAGAGAATTAGAAACATCGATAAGAGAGAGAATCATTGATCAGCTGCCTCTTGCACACCCCCTACTGGGGATGTGCCCGAAACCCAGGTACATGCCCTTGACTGGAATTGAACCTGGGACCTTTCAGTCCGCAGGCTGACGCTCTATCCACTGAGCCACACCGGTTTTGGCAAGGGCCCATTCTGTGTGGAGGGGCTGGGTCTGCAGGCTTCTCTGAGGTTTGGGGGGGGGGGTAGACGCAGAGATGGAAGAAACAAGCCCCTGATTCGTCTTCACAGAAAAGAAACAGCATGTGGCCAGATGGTGACTGAATCTCCCCAGAGCAAACCGGACATGGGGGGTGGGAGTTGGGAAGAGGTGTGAGAGCTGTGCTCAGGGCTGAGAGCACATTTCCCAGGAGGATTCCCCTACCCAGAGGGCGGCGGAGCCGGTCAGGAAGGTCTCAGGCCAGTACTTTAAATGGCCCAATGGGAGACAGCAGGAAACAGGTGACCACATAGTACTCAGCCAGTGAGGAACCGGAGGAGGGACTAACTAAATAGGCTGTGTTCCCTGCCCCACGTGTGTACCAGGGGGAGAGGGGGGTGTGCCCTTTAGGAGAGGTATTAAAAGTATTTGAGCAGAAACCGGTGTGGCTCAGTGGATAGAGCGTCGGCCTGCGGACTGAAAGGTCCCGGGTTCGATTCTGGTCACGGGCATGTACCTTGGTTGTGAGCACATCTCCAGTGGGGGGTGTGTGCAGGAGGCAGCCAATCGATGTTACTCTCTCATCGATGTTTCTAACTCTCTATCCCTCTCCCTTCCTCTCTGTAGAAAATCAATAATATATATATATATATATATATATATATATATATATATATATATATATTTTTTTTTTTTTTTTTTTTTTTAAGTATTTGAAATTCGTTAATGACGTAAGCAGTCCCTCAGCTCCACCCCACCCCCACCCCCACCCGGAAAACCCGCTGCCCTCCCTCATCCGTGCCCCTGCCGGGGGACAGCGCCGGCCACGACTCAGCACCCCGCCGTGATCCCGTGGGGACAGGTGCGCTCACCTTGATGGGCTTCTGCACGTTGGTGGAGGAGTGCCGGAAGCAGATTTCTTTCAGGAACTTGGAGATGATGCCGACCGCTGCCTTGGTCTGGAGTCTGACGGTTTTCGTGGGCTGGAGGAAGTCCTTGATGAATTTGTCCAGATGGTGGCCCGGGGTCTCGTGGAGCGGGGTCGGCTGTGGGGAGGGTCAGGGAGGGTGCGAGAATCCCGCTGTGAGTGCCCCCTGTCAGCTGGCCCCAGGCTTTCCTCCCGCCTCTCCCTCCTGCTCTCCAACCCAGCAACACTGTGGTCCTTACTTCTTATAGTGACACCAGTGGCCCGGGCATGAAAATTTGTGCCCTGGGGCGGGGGGGGGGTCCCCTCAGCCCGCCTGCGCCCTCTTGCAGTCCAGGAGCCCTTGGGGGATGTCCCACTGACAGTGTGGGGAGTGGGCCCAAGCCACGGTCTGGTCCCCCTCTGTTGGGGGGCGAGAGGTGGGCCGAGCAAGCAGGTTGCCATCCGCCCCCCCATTGCCATCTCCTCCCTCTGTCCGCTGGCACCCACCTTGGCTGGCCTGGTGCCACCCGCTCACAGGCCCCATCCCCCACCGACCGGTTGTTCTGCCATTCGGCTGATTTGCATATTAGGCTTTTATTATATAGGATATCCCAGGGACATATTTGAGTTTAGGGTAAGTAATCCGGGGGTAAATTTAGGGTAAAAATTCGGACTGTCCCGCTTTTGGCGGGACAGTCTGAATTTTTAACAATTTGTCCCACGTCTCAGGGCATTTTAAAAAAGTCTCCATTTTTGGAAAGATGTCTTTTATTTATTTATTTTTCTAAAAGACATCTTCTTATAGTAAGATAATTTAATTTTTTAAAACGCCGCGGGATGAGGGACAAATTGTTAAAAATCGGGACTGTCCCGCCAAAAGCGGGACGTCTGGTCCCCTTAGTTTAGGGCGTACCCAGAAACGATACTCTCCCCTAGCTGAGAACTGAATCCTTCTCCGTGGGGGTCCTTCATGCCCCCCCCTCCGACCCCTCTCCACGCCGTTTCCAGCTGAGGCATCGCCATCACTCCTCAGCCTCCCCTGCCCCTCTCTTCCTGTTTCCCGTGGCTGTGACAGATTTCCCATGGTCACACTCATTTCTTTCCCCAGGTTCTATCGGCTTCGCTTAAACACGGGGGACCCGGGGACAGGTCCCCAGGGCCGCCGTGACACATGACAGAGGGGTGGCGTGAAGCGACACAGGTTCACCCTCTCACAGCCCAGAGACTAGGGATCCAGAGGGAAGCTGAAACCGGTTTGGCTCAGTGGGTAGAGCGAAGAGTCCTGGGTTCGATTCCGGTCAAGGGCATGTGCCTTGGTTTTGAGCACATCCCCAGTGGGGAGTGTGCAAGAGGCAGCTGATCAATGATTCTCTCTCATCGATGTTTCTAACTCTATCCCTCTCTCTTTCTCTCTGTAAAAAAATCAATGATATATATATATATATATATATATATATATATATATATATATTTTTTTTTTTTTTTTTTTTTTTTTTAAGGGAAGCGTGGGAAGGCCGTGCTCTCTCTGATGCCCCCCGGGGAGGCCCTGCCCAGCCTGTTCTGGCTTCCGGCGGACCAGTCACCCCTTGGCCGGTACGCGCGTCACTCTGACCCCGGCCTCTGCGTGCATATGACCTTCTCCCCTCTGTGTGTGTCTCTGGGTGCCTTCTTTTTGTTGTAGGTGTTAGTCCTCACCCCTGGACATTTCCCACTGATTTTTAGGGAGCGTGGAAGGAGCAGGAAAAGACACGAGAGAAACAACGTGTGAGAGAGACCCATCGGCCTCCTTCCAGTGCCCCACCGGGGCTGGGGATTGAGCTTGCAACCAAGGTATGTGCCCTTGGCTGGAATCGAACCTGGGTCTCTTCAGTCAGCAGGCCGACACTCTGTCCACTGAGCCACACTGGCCAGGGCTCCGTGTATCTGCTTTCGAGGACACTGGTCATTGGAGACAGGTCCCATGCGAGCCTCAACGAATGACACCCACACCCCCCCGCTGTCCCACCAAGTGCGGGCTGCCCTAACCACTGGGCATCAGGTGAAGGGCCTCTACGGGGAGGGCACTGAGGTGGAGTGCCCTGACCATCTTTGCAGCTTTCCTCTCCACGTGAACACTTTCAGAATGAAATGCCGGGAGAAACATGTTTTCAAAAGCCGTCTTAGGAGGCTGGGAGCCAAGACCAGGGGTCTGGTGAAAGCTGGGGCAGGGCGGGGCGGGGTGCAGGCACAGGGGCGACCGCTCAGAGGGTCCCCATCCTTCTGCAGCCAACTAGGGGTTTCCTGTTCACAGGGAGCTTCCCGCCTGGGACCTGGGTCTATTTACATCTCCGTTGACCTCCCAGACCTTTGCTCAGCTGCACCTCCAGTTTCTGTGCAGACAGAACACAGACACTGCCTCCCCTTGCTTGGGCGTAAAGGGGTCCCGTCCTGGGACCTGTGGCATTTCACTGACTTCTCCGGCCTCGTTGGAGGGTTGGTGTCCCCTCCCCCCCCCCCCCCGCCCTACGGCCCCAAGGCATGCTTCACCTGTCTCAAGGGACCACCTTTCTCTGAGAAGCCCTGGGTGTGCAGGCGGGTTCTGTGGCCACAGATTTGCTTCTCCTTTGTGTGGTGGGAGGGGCAAAGGGACTTTCTCGGGTTCAAAGCTGGCCCCTCCCATAGTTCTCCCGTCCCTAGCCCCACTGATCCCCCGGGCCTGGCCCGGCACCCACAGGGGTGAGCGTTAGCCACTTCCCCTGGACTCTGCTCCATTTCCTCCGCCATAGCCTTCCTGCCTGCAGACAGGAATCCAAACCTCTCACCTGCAGGCGCCCTCCCCTTAGTTTGTACCTTACCATCATTTCCTTGGAAGGGGATGGACGTACGTCCCCTCGAAACATACGCTGACGATATAAGCATAACCAATGTACGCAGAACTCTGGGGAGGCAGGGCATGTATGGGAGGGGGGGAATTGGTAAGATATGTACACATACAATACCTTAATAAAAAAAATGAAAACAAAACAAAAAAATTATAAACAAACAAACAAAAACAAAAAACACACACAAAAAATCAAAAACATACGCTGACGTCCTAATTGGTGAAGGTGAACGTATCTGGAAAGAGGGTCTTTGCAAGAGGCAATCAAGTTAGACGGGGTCATTTGGCTTGGCCCCAATCTAACCCATCCTGGGTCCTCACAAGAAGAGGGGAGAGGCACCCAGACAGACAGCGTGGAGGGGAGACCGACCGTGTGAAGACACGGAGGGAAGGCCATGAGACCCTGGAGGCAGAGACTGGAGTGATGCCGCCACAAGCCAAGGACTGCTGACCACCACTGAGTCCAGGGAGGCACGGGAGATTCCTCCTCTAGAGGCTTCAGAGGGAGCACAGCCCTGCCCACACCTTGAACTTGGACTCCCAATCCTCAGGACTGGGGCAGCATACATTTCTGTTGCTCCGAGCCGTCCAGGGCATGGGACTTTGCTACAGCAGCTCTAGGAAACCGACACAGGGGGATTTCGAGGTGTTGGGGGGTGGGGTGGGGTCTGAGCTCTATGTGGAACGCCCTCTCACCAGAACATTCCACGATGGCGACTCTTGCAGGCTGGGACGAGACAGCCAGACTTGAGCTTCTTCCTTTAGCAGTTGCCAGCACGCCTTATCTCCGCTCACCCGATTGGTGGGGTCAGTTGGGTCCAAGATTACTGGCCTAGGAATTCCATTAGATTATAAAAAATAAAATAAAATAATCAGCGGGGCTGCTTGTGGGAAGAGAAATCAGTTTTAGGGAACGGGGCCTGGGCTGGGCCTCTGGTCTCTCCTGTGCTTCCTCTCAGTTGCTGAGTGCTTTGCCTGCTATGCCTGCCCCTCTGGTCCTGTCCTCTGGTGGGCAGAGAGAGGCGCTCCACTGATAACGTAACAAGATGGCCTCTCCCTGCGGGCCTTCCTTCTCCCTTAGCCTCTTCCTGCTGTAAAGGAAACGCCTCGCAAGGGTCTGTCTGGGGCACAGAATGGGACGATGGTTTGTAGTGGGAAAGCAGGGCTCAGGGTCCCTGCCTCAGACAGGCCTCTCCTTGCTCCCCTCCCCGGGGCTGCCGGCATCCATGTGGCTCGCCCCTGGCTGGGAAGGACAGGGGAGGGCGCTCATTCTAAAGGGGTGCAGCCTGGCCGAAACCTGTTTGGCTCAATGGATAGAGCGTCGGTCTGCGAACTGAAAGGTCCCAGGTTCGATTCCGGTCAAGGGCATGTGCCTTGGTTGCGGGCACATCCCCAATAGGGGGTGTGCAAGAGGCAGCTGGTCAATGTTTCTCTCTCATCAACGTTTCTAGCTCTCTATCTCTCTCCCTTCCTCCTCTCTGTAAAATATCAATAAAAAATATATATTTAAAGGGGTACAGCCTGCCATGCCCACAGAGAGGGAGAGAGAGAGGGCCCCGGGGGTTGTGGGCACCTCGGTGATCGGATCTGGCCCAGCATGACGTTCCGGACGGTCTCATCTTCGAAGTTGTAGTTGACCGTCCAATACACGCACAGCTGCTCCTGCTGCTGGACGAGCCCCAGGACAGTTGTGAGGCCCTGGACGATATCGAAGTCTTCCTCTCTGCACCCCTCCTCCCAGGCATAGACGGTGAGCAGCTCCAGAGCATACGAGGGTGGCAGGGACCGAGGCTCCGACCGCTTCTGGCACTGCGGGGGAGGAACGGGGCGGCAGCTAATGGAGAGACCTAGTCCTTCCCATGTCAGGGCTCTGAAATCAAGAAACCAGCTCGGCCGGTGTGGCTCAGTGGTTGAAGTCGACCCCATGAATCAGGAGGTCACGGTTCAATTTTCGGTCAGGGCACAGGCCTTGGTTTCAGGCTCCGTCACTGGGTAGGGTGTGTGTGGGAAGCATCCAATTGGTGTTTCTCTCTCTCTCACTCTCCCTCTCCCTTACTTTCTCTCTAAAATCAATAAAAACATATTTAAAAATAAATCTTAAGTCAAACCATTGTAAGCCAAGGCCCTCCTGTAGTTGGCCATATTTCCTAAAGTTAAATATGTAACTATTCCTCATTGTGGACACACATGTGCACACATATATGCCATGTGTATATGTACGCGCGCACACCTATGTTTTCATATACATATACTTTATAGCCCAGTAGTCCCCGCCTGCATATTTACTCCAGAAAAAGGAGTTCTTGCCCAGCTGGTGTGGCTCAGTGGTTGCACGTTGACCTATGAACCAAGAGGTTCAATTCCTGGTCAGGGCCCGGGTTGCAGCCTCAATCCCCAGTAGGGGGCATGCAGGAGGCAGCCGATCAATGATTCTCTCTTACCGTTGATGTTTCTATTATCTCTCTCCTTCTCCCTTCCTCTTCTGAAATCACTAAAAGAAAATGTATATTTTATTTTATTATTATTTTTAAAAAATATATTTTATTGATTTTTCAGAGAGGAAGAGAGAGGGATAGAGAGTCAGAAACATTGATGAGAGAGAAACATCAATCAGCTGCCTCTTGCACACCCCCTACCGGGGATGTGCCCGCAGCCAATGTACATGCCTTTGACCGGAATCAAACCTGGGACCTTTCAGTCCTCAGGCCAACGCTCTACCACTGAGCCAAACCAGTTTCGGCAGAAAATGTATATTTTAAAAAGGAGCCTACAATTTACAAAAACACATGCAGGGAATACCCATAGTCACATAATTCATAATAGCTCCAACTTTTACGAATTATGACCCAAATGCCCGTCAGTAGCAGAATGGGTAAATGTGTGGTAGAGTAATACCATGGAATATTACGAAACAATGAAAAATGACAATCGCACTAACATGGACAAACCTCTCAGACGTAATGTTGAACAGAAGACAGCAGACACAACGCACATACAGTCAAATTCCATTCATAGCAAGTTGAAAAGCAAGCAAAGCGGATTTGTGGTGACAGCTGTTAGGATGGTGGGCTGTTTGGGGGAGTCTTAACTGAGGCCACTTGCGGAATTTTGCTTAAAACAATATAAAATGCACCGAGCTGTATGCTCAAGATTGTTGTACTTGACTGAATTGCAAGTTATTGGGACCCAATAGACAGTGGATGCCAGCCGAGGAAATGCAATATGAAACTTACCAGTCGATGCCAGTCCTTTACCAAGAGGATCAAATCCCTCAGCTTCCTGGAATGGTTGTTAAAAAAATTCTGCTGGAGTTGTGTGAAGGAGACCGAGAATTCCCCGGGGCCGGCTTTTGCCTTGTCCAAGGCTCTTTTGAGGTCGCGGTAGGTCGAGGGGCTGGGCTTGCCACTTAAGTCTGGCAGGAGAGAGAAAGGGGACTTTGAAGGTTGGGTGCGGTTTGATGGCAAAGGGCTTCCTCGGTCAGAGGCTGGGTATGTTTGCGTAAAAGGCGAGGGGCGGCTTGCCCTGCTCGGTGATAAAAATGAAGTCTACAATGACCGGCATGCAAATGCTAGGGCGCTGGCCGAAGACAAGACCAGGGGGAGCAAACAGAGGAAAGGAGAAACCAGTATAAAATGAAAAATGAAGGAGTTCCGAATAAGTAGGGAAGAGGTGGTTTCTTTGAAAAAATGGCATTGGCCTACACCTGGAAGGAAATAAAGTTGATATATCACATACGCTGCAATCCGCTATTGAGCTCATCCAGGGAATGCTCCAGTTCAGAGTCAAGGGTACAGGCATCTTGAGGAGGCAGGTGCAGGCAGGTGCGGGAGAGCCCTGGAGGCTGGGATGGATGCCAGTTGGCAGTTGCACCCCGCACAGCACTGAGCCTGTAAGGTAGGGCGATGCAGGGCATGGCTCCCAGACCAGGGTGCCAATCAGAATCCTGCTGCACAGCTAATCTGAACACAGGTGCAGGAGCCTCCTGTGTCAATGAGGCAGATGAGTAGGTTAGAAAACCGTGGGACACCTACACGATGGAATACTGCGCTGCTATAAAAAAGGAGGAACTTTTACCACTTGAAACAGCATGGATGGAATGGGAGAGCATTGCGCTAAGTGAAATAAACCAGTCGGAGAAAGATAAATATCACATGATCTCACTCATATGTGGGATAGAATGATCAACATAACTTGATGAACAAGAATAGATCCAGAGACAAATGGTAGGGGACGGGGGGTGGTGGGTCCGGGATTAGAGAGTTTGTATGCATGGGGTGGGGGGGGGGGGAGTTGAGTGGGGGGCTCGCCCGAGTGTAGAGGTGTTCTCCCTTTTCTGCGTCCAGAACAGAAAAGGAACGGACTCCTCAGCTCCTCTTGAGTAGAGGAGCTGGGGATTAAGAAATAAAAGAAAAAAGAAAGCAAGAGGCAGAAATAAAAGCAAGCTGGGAGCCAGATGGGATGCTGCCACTTTGATGGAGGGACAGGACCCTGAGCCCACGCAGCCAGTGCATTTATTTTATACCCCCAGATACCAGGAAGTATCACCAAAACATAGGATCAAAGGAGCTTATTTGCATTCTTGAGTAGGCCCTAGCATTCCTGGTGCTTGACTGGATTTAGTACATATCTAGACCCGCTCCGGACATCTGGACAAAGGTAAAAGCCAGTACTGAATAACACGTTCCACCTTCTTGAAGAATGTGTATCCCAGACGCAGCTCCGCCAGTCGCCTCAGACTCAGCCGACAACAATCTAAAGAATGTCCATATGCCTTCCCTGGGGGCCCTCTGCACCCGCGGTGGGAATGGCTTGTGGGGGGAGGGTCACGAGGGGAAAAGGGGACATGCGTAAAACTTTAGACAATAAATAAATTAAAAAAAAAAAAAAGTCAATGAGGAGCCCCAACTGGTTTTGCTCAGTGGATAGAGCGTAGGCCTGCAGACCAAAGGGTCTCGGGTTCCATTCCGGTTAAGGGCACGTACCTCGGCTTCAGGCTCCTCTCCAGCCCAGGCCCTGGTTGGGGCTTGTGGGGGAGGCAACCAATCGATGTGTTTCTCTCACATTGACGTTTCTCTCTGTCTCTCCCTCTCCCTTCCACGCTCCCTAAAAACCAATGGGAAAATATCCTCGGTGAGGATTAAAACAGCAATAAAAAGTCAATAAGGAGATGGGGAGAAGCCCTAGAGAAGAGAGAAAGCCAGGGTAGGAGGGGCTTCCTCTGTTGAAGGCCTTCCGCCGTCGGAAAGCACCAAAGGTATTCATCCACCGTCCCTCTCGTTGACGTTGCTCTCTCAACACAGACCCACCTCAAGACCCAGACCCGCCCCCACACGCCCCGGAGGGCTCACCCAGAGCGTCGAAGGCGGGCAGCACGTCCAACGTGACGCACTGACACTTTGTGTACAGCCGGATGGCGAGGCTACCGTCGAGCCTCAGCATCTCCATCCTGGCTGCCAGCTTCCTTTCGAGCCGACACGCTCTCAGACGCTGCCAGATTTTGTCGAGGATTTTGTGTCGCTTTTCCTTCTGGTCCTGGAATTTCTCAAGGTCACCGATGAAGATGACAAGGGTGCCATCGGCGCTGCCCTTTAAGAATGTTTTCCGGCCATAGGAGCCGCCCTGCCAGCAACAAGAGGAGCAGGTGTGAGAGTCTGGACCCTTTCGGGGGTCACGGCACTCCCCAGGAGGCAGTCGTGCTACTTCCCTTGAGAAAAAACCCCCACATGTCACCATAGTCTTCAAGTTGCTATGGCACCCACAGACCAAGGTGCCATAGCAATGCTCTTCATACTAGCCTAAGGTGACCAGACCTCCCGCGTTGGAGGGACAGTCCCGATTTTTAACGATTTGTCCCGCGTCCCTCGGCGTCTTAAAAAAGTCCCGATTCTTTCCAAAAAGGGATGGGGGGAAATTGTTAAAAATTGAGACTGTCCCGCCAAAAGCGGGACGTCTGGTCACCCTATACTAGCCCCAACCTGGAGGACACGCCAATGGATGAATGTGGTGTATCCATGTGGTGGAATACCACACAGCAGTGACACAACAAACACCACCTGCCCACACGACAGGCATGGCAGGAACAGGGTGGGTCAGAGACCATGCAGGAAAGCCACACATGGCATGAACAGGGCGTGGACCCATTTATCCAGGGTGACCCACTGGTCCGGTGCAGCCAGTATTGGCGTCGAAAGGCCCACGTCCCGGAAAACCCCTCAGGCCAGGCACGCTGGGCTGCTTGGCCACCTTACATGTAGACAAAGTTAAATGCCCGCAAAACGGTCTCTACTGTTAGGAGGCGGGCGGGCGGGCGGGCGGGCGCTCCCCCGGGGGAGGGCGGGGACAGGACAGGGAGGGCAGGGGCCCTGGGGGCTGGGGATGCTTTGCTCCTCGAGCTGGGTGTAGGTTTGTTTGTGGCAACCTGAACAGGCTGCAAACTTAGCTCTGTGCACTCATCTGTTTGTGTGTTTGTTTTAATCAGAACAAGATAATTAATATTGAGAGGCAGGGTGGTGCTATTAAATAATGCCCAGCTATTAAGTAACATCCCTGTGTCTCCGTTTCCTCCTCTGGGCCAAGGCAGGAGACACCAGTATCTGAGTGTGTGTGTGTATGGATGTGTACATACATACACACACGTGTGTGTGCATATATATGTATGTATATATATGTAAATGTGTGTATGTGTATGTGTGTGTATGTGTATATATGTGTGTATGTGTGTATATAAGTGCATGTGTGTGTATGTGTATATATATATGTGTGTGTGTGTATACAAGTGTGTGTGTGTGTGTGTGTGTGTGTGTGTGTGTGTGTAACGGCAGAGGCCAGGTAGCACTGTGGCTGCAGAGAAGCGAGTCTCCTACACCTCCCTACCCTAGGGTCCTGGCGCCCCAGCACCCTTTCCTCCCCACGGGCCCAGACTCTCTCGCCTCAGCCCTGGGGTTTGTGCCCGCAGCACCAGCCATTTCTAACCGATGAGCGATCCCAATCCCTCCTCGCTGGAAAAGCCACCGAGAAACTTTTGGGCCGTTCCCCCGAAGGCCTGTAGCCCCAGTTGACTGCTCTGTGGATGGGAAGGACAGAACAGGAGCAGGGAGTAATCACAGCCAATGCACCGAGCACTCACCGTGTCCCAGGCCTTGTCCTAAGAACATGACACGCTCAAGCCTCCTGACACTTTCAGATGGGTGCCTCCCATTTTATAGACTCGGAGGCTGAGGCACAGAGAGGTTAAGCAACCACCCGCGGATCACACAGCAATGAGGGGCAGAGCGGGCCTCAGAGTCTGTGCTCCTAAATGCTAAACAATATCCCATCCTCTCTCTGAGGTGGGGGGGGGGGGGAGAGACAGGATGACGTATGGTGCACCCAGGGCCTGACACACAGTGGGTGCTCAGCTCCAAGTCTCTCTGACTTCCCATCACCAGGAGCCCCGACCCCGCTCCAAGTCTCTCTGACTTCCCATCACCAGGAGCCCCGACCCCGCTCCAAGTCTCTCTGACTTCCCATCACCAGGAGCCCCGACCCCGGCCCTCCACTCACTTTGGCCACGTGTGTCACCACGGGAGGCTCCGTGGCTTCCTGCAGGGCAGCACAGATGCTGTCCACAGCCTCATCGATCTGCTTCTGACAGTCCTCCGTCGGCCTCAGTGAGAAACGGACGTAATCATCCAGTACACGAGCAGGCATCTCGTACACCGTTTCCGGGCCATCGCTGAACAGCCAGTTGCCCATGGCTCCTGCTGGCTCCCGGGGTGACGGCTCCCAGCAGAGCAGGAGGCAGAGGAAAGGGAGGATCTCTGGGCTGGGAGCTTGGAAGCTGGCAGGAGCCAGGAAACCGAAACTCACAGCATTCTTAGCTGACTTCCTCAATCCAGAGCTCAGCCCGCCCCTCAGCTCCCACGGCCAGCTGTTCCTGAGGAGGAGGAGGAGGAGGAGAAGGAGGAGGAGGAGGAGGAGGAGAGAAGGAGGAAAAGAGGAGGAGGCGTATCCTGGAGAAGCACGCGGCTGCTGGAGTTGGATGCGTGCTAGACCTGTGTCCCGAGCAAGCCCCTGCCTCGGGGAGCCTCGACTTCCCCCTCCGTAAAACGGGGACAGCAGTGGTGTCTCTCTTATTGGGCGAATGCAAGAATAAAACGGTACCTGGCAAGGGCTGAGGGCCGGGCAGGTCACCACTGCTATACAAGTGTTTGCTAAGCAAATAAAACTGCATAGCATTGCCGAAACCGGTTTGGCTCAGTGGATAGAGCGTTGGTCTGCGGACTGAAGGGTCCCAGGTTCGATTCCGGTCAAGGGCACGTAGTACCTTAGTTGCGGGCACATCCCCAGTTGGGGGTGTGCAGGAGGCAGCTGATCGATGTTTCTCTCTCATCGATGTTTCTAACTCTCTATCCCTCTCTCTTCCTCTCTGTAAAAAAATGAATATAATATATTTTTTAAAAAACTGTATAGGGTCAGAGTTCTTCCTTTAAGCCTTTCCCCTCCTTCCTGTTCCCAGTGGCCTGAGGCGTCAGAGTCGGTGAGAACGGAAAGGAGAGAGACTCAGGGAGGTGACAGACTAGCTCAGGGACACTCAGCGAGAGGAGGGCTGAGTTGGGCTCAGTGGGGGGGGGGGGGGCGCGTGAAGGGGGAGCTTCCGCGTGCCCAGTTCTGCAGCACCCACGGAAACCCGCACGGCCTCATCAGCCACGTGCCCCACCCAGCAAGGACGGAGACAAGCTCAGAAGCACGCCGAATGGAGGGGAGACAGGTGTGCAACTCCTGCCCAGAGCTATGAGAACAAAACTCCCAGAGGCTGTCTCAGCAGCAAACACCCCCATGGAAGCCCCCCTCTGCCATGAGAATTAATTTCATACGTCAACTTGGCTGGGCGAAGGCACCCAGATATTTGGTCAAACATGATTCTAGATCTTTCTGGGAAGGGGCTTTACAGATGAGACTAACATTTAGACCAGCGGACTTGGAATAAAGCCGACTACTCTCTAGTATGTGGGTGGGCCTCGTCTAATCAGTGGAGGGCCTCTGTGTAAAAAAGGCAGACTCCCCAGGAGGAAGTGGGGATCCCACCAGCAGATGCCTTCAGCCTGGAGCTGCCTGGGCCTCCCTCCTGCCCGCCTGCCTTGCAGAATTTGGACGTGCCAACTTCCACAACAGCATGAGCCAATTCCGTAAAAGAAATCTCTAGATCCACATCTATATATCCTATTGTTTGTTTTTGTTGTGTTTTTTGGTAGAATTCTGACTATTACACCTGTCCATTAAAGGTCCTCATTTGCCCCTGACTTTCACTGTAACAGTTAGAGGTCAGCTGGGAAGGGGTCATCAGACTCCTTTTTTAGGTAAAAATGTGGAGGCTCATGCCCTAACCGGTTTGGCTCAGTGGATGGAGCATCAGCCTGCGGACTGAAAGGTCCCAGGTTCGATTCTGGCCAAGGCCATGTACCTTGGTTGCGGGCACATCCCCAGTGGGGGGTGTGCAGGAGGCAGCTGATCGATGTTTCTCTCTGATGGATGTTTATAACTCTGTAAAAAATCAATGAAATACATATTTTTAAAAATGTGGAGGCTCAGAGAGGTGGGAACACTTGCCAAGGTCACACAGCTAGTAAATTGTTTGGCTGGGTCCTAACCTCGTACTACTTGATTCCAAAATCCATGTGTTTTTTTTTTGTTGTTGTTGTTGTTTTTTGTTTTTTACTTTTTGAAGATTCGATTCTGAAACCATCTGAAATGCTGAGGAAATGTGTGAGGTGAGTACAAAGAACTCCCTCTTCTGTCTTCACCAGAACATTTTGCACCTGCCCTTATTCTGCATGCACGTTTCATCAGCAGCCTTATTACTGAGCCGTTTCGGAGAGTGTTGCAGATATGATGCCCCCTTACTCTTCTTTGTTTAAAATCTTTGGGGTTTTGAGAAGATTTAGGTTCGCAGTAAAGTTGGGCAGAAGGCCCAGCGATTTCCTATGTATTCCCTGCCCCCCCACAGGCACAGCCTCCCCACACAGGCAGGGCGTTTGTTATACCTGATGATTCTACACAGACACATCCTAGTCACCCAGACCCTCTTCAATCCTCCCACACGTACCCCCTCAGAACCAGGCTGCTTCCTCCCCGCCTCCTGGACAGACCACACCCTCACCCACCTGATAGGCATTCACGGTGCTTATGCTGGGAATGCGGTCCTGGACCTGCCCGCCCCCACCCCCCAGGCATCCACTCCTCCTTGTGCTCCCTGGGGTGGGAAGACAGATGCTCATGTCTCAGACCCCCCTGAGCCAGATTCTGGCTGGAATTTAGTTTATTTTGGAAACGCAGAAGCACCCCCTGCAGCCCTGGTGGCCCAGTCCCGGGAGACGTTTGTGGCTGGGGGAGTCCAGGTCCCTGGATCTGGCCCCCTGCTCTGAGGGAGAGAGGCGGTGGGCAGGGCAGCAGCAGCTTCCTCTGATTCAGCCAGCAGTGGTCCAATAACGAAACTAAAGTCCAGGCAGCCCCATCCTCCTTCTGCCGGTTCAGGGTTCGGATGGAACCCCTTTCCACTCCCGATTCCGGAGTGCTGGTCCTGGGCTGAGAGGGACATGTGACTGCACCGGAGGTCAGACGTGCCCCCCGGCACGCGCCGGTGGGTTTGCTCTGGAGGGCAGAGGCAGGCTGGCACTGTTACCATGGCACTGGCTCACATGCAGGCTCTGGGGATGGAGGATCCCACTGGTGGCATCGAAGCAGGGAGAAAAAAGACGGGAACTTGGTACAGACTGTAAGGCCTGTAAGGCATGGCATGTAGATGTGCAAACTGGGGAAAGGTGTCCAAAGGGAGGCCTCCAAGGAAAAGGCATCCGGTGAAGTGTCCAAGGACAGGAACCGCATGACATGCATTATCCCACTCCCCCTGTCTGTGTCTGTGGCAGACATAAGTAGCCTATCCCAGCATGCTGTCCTTCTAGCAGCTGAGCTCAGAAAGCTTCTCAGTAGCCCAGACGTGTACAGACTGTAGGTCTCTGAGCACTTCTTCCTGTATGCAGGCCAGACATTGCTAATCAATCACAGCACTCGTGCCACTACTTTTTTCCAGTACATCCATGGCAGACATCACTAATTGATTAGGTTACTCCTCCCAGCTAGTCATCCATTCTTCAAAATCCTTTAACACATAGGGCTCCAGATAGCCACAACCAACTGAGTGTGGCTGACAGATGAGATGAAAACTCTGCCGGAAGCCAATCCTAGCATGTCATAATTGCAAGAGTTTCATCAAAAGGGCTGAGTCACATATGTAATCACCTATTGGGAATGGCTAAAAGCATTTCCCCAAACTTGAAAAGGATGATTACTTGCTGCCAGACACTTCAAGGCATCTTAATCTACATGTTATTGCCTCCTACTGGCCAAACACCTGAACAGTCGTAGGCAAATTCTTCCAATCTGACAATGGATTCATGTACTAACCCTACCTTTGATGTGCATATCTCCACCTTGCCTTAAGACAAATTGTGTTAATAAAAAGCAAGGGGTCCTGAGACAAGGGGGACTTAGCTCCTTTAGCTAAGTCTCATCTGGCCCTCATAAAGCCTTTCAAAATTATGCTTCGTCTCTGGACTCTTATTTAATTTATATACAGCCTTTCTCTGGATTCCTGAACCCTTCTAGATGCTGGATCATGACCACCAGCATTGCCCTAGCCCGTTTGGCTCAGTGGATAGAGCGTCCGCCTGTGGACTCAAGGGTCTCAGGTTCGATACCAGTCAAGGGCATGTGCCTTGGTTGCGGGCACATAGCCAGTGGGGAGTGCGCAGGAGGCAGCTGGTTTATGTTTCTAACTCTCTATCCTTCTCCCTTCCTCCCCGCAAAAAATTAATAAAATATAATTAAAAAGAAAAAGACCATCAGATTAAAACTCTACCACCCCTGTGAAAAGTTCTTAGATTAGGGAAGGAGGAGCAGTCACTGGGAGGTCAGAGATGACCGTCAGAAGGAAGGATGGGAGCTGGTGTGGATGGGTAGGGAGAATCGGGGAGGAGGAGGACATTCTCGGTGGGGCAGATGCAGCTGAGACCAGAGGGTCACCAGGGTGTTGAAGAAGCTGGAAACCCAGGAAGGTGCCCACCCATGCAGGCTGCACTCCAATACACACACACACACACACACACACACACACACACACACACACACACATCTGGCATGTGACCCTGAGTCTCCCCACGTGGAGGGCTGGTGTCCATCTGTCCATCTGGCAGGACCACTGATTTTCTGGCTTCACACAGCGGCCTGGGGAAGATGATAGAATATGTTGGTTACCTCCAACCTTCCTAGAAAAGCTGAGAGAATGCAAATAGATAGGACATGGAGGCATGGGGGCACATCTGGGCCATGACTGGGCCCTGCCCCTTTGGGAGGAATCATGCCCCTCCCCCGATCACACTGCCCGCCCCCCAACCAAGATGCTCCCTGCTGTACCACAGGTCTCTCACCCTCACGGGCCATGGCTGGATGGGGGTGCCATCTCTGCCTATGCAGCACAGGGAGGATGTGCAGGCTGCAGCTTCCTTGGCTAGCAGGTCCCAGCGGGCGTTGGGGCCCAGGTTGCCTGTCGGGTCTGCTGGATCCAGGATGATGGGCCTGCAATTCCCATCCAAGGTCAGTCCTCTTCCTGGCAAACATCTGGGTATCTACCTCTGGGACTGCTTGAACTATTTCCCCCCTCACCCAACACTTTGCAGCAGGCAGGGGCAGGGGCAGGG